GAGCATCTACAAAAAGGAACCATGCCAAACAAAAAGTTTTGTGTGGTGTCGAATGTGCATGGTCTCCCCCAGAAAATATTTGTATTTTTCCACCCCTACTCCCCAAGACTGCACTTCGTGCGTTTCCTGAAACAGATCGTTGGATATACCGGCAGTGTTACATCATACTGTAGATAGACCAAATCCTCAGTTAAGTACTTGCATGGTATGTTTATGTAAATACCACACCTTGGTGACTAACTTGTTTGCCTAGCCTTCCAACAACTCAAATTAGGGTCTAAAATATGCTATCCACTGGGCAATTTTTAAACTATCTAAGGTATTTTCTACACAATGTTTACTATTTTTTAAAAAACATTGAATTATTTGAAGATACTTTTACACGACATAAGATTCACAAAGCAAATATCAGTTACTAGAATATCCGAAACTTCACTTCCAAACTTCATTTTTCTTCCAATGTTTTGCTTATATTCAAAAAAAGGAACTTTGATTGTGGGGGCCAAAACTGTTGAGGAGCTGAAACAAGCCTTATAAAATCGCACATATACTTACAACAACATATCTTCCATATATTTCTTCATCACTGTCAGAATGGGCCATTTCTCGTGCATAACTTAACTTTCGTTCAGGATCACTGAAGTCCGAGAAATCATGAACAAACGAATTCTCACTCAGTCGAATTGTCTTGACGCTCAATTGAGACTTAGGCGGGATTTCTTGAAATCTTTCTGAGAAAGTTGAGTAGCGACTGGACTTGAAAGGTGTCGATTTACGGGAACTGTCCAATCGCCACTTTTTGAGCAGAAAGTTTTCGATTTTGCATGCCAATATTCGAAACAGGATAGATCTAACATGTGGCGACGTGATTTTGGCGGTGTGATTTTGTTGTGTGACACTGCTTGGAAAGCCGCGCACGCGAGATGTAGATAATTGTGACATCATAATTAAGGCGATTCATCAATTTTGCATTGCGCACTTTTGCTGCGCACTTTTACTGCGCATATCTAATAGCAAATTCTAGCTAATATATGTAGTCAAACTGCAATGTAAAGTGATAAAGAAAGAATAAGGGCAAAGAGAAAAACACTTTGCATTGATTAGGCGTGCTTCAGGAAATTATCATTTCCAGAACAATCACCTTAAGGGGTTAATTAACAGGGCTGGCGGTTTGGCCAGTGCATATATGCCTTTTACCTCTCTAACCGAGGATTCCTAAAATTATATGAAGTCGTCTGATTATTTTAACAGCTGCGGATTGAGAGATACAACAACCTGAAAATAAAAGGAGAACTTCCAGGCAAAACTTCGACGTTTCGAGCCCTTCGTAGGGAAGTTAGTAGCGGACTAATTTCCCGACGAAGGGCCTTAGCCCTAAACGTCGAAGTTTTGCCTGTATTTTCCAGGTAGTTGTATCTCTTTCAATCTGTAGCTGTCTTGTCATCGTCGCTACCTATGCTGGCGAAGTCCGTCTGATTATATTGTATGAACTGGTGCTCCTGTTTCCTTCTGTAGAAACACTGGAACAGTTGTGGATGGCTCTTCTACAGGCCTTAAAATATCTTTTACATGGCCGTCTGACAAAATGTCCGATGACGTTGAGTTTGGCCTTCAGTTCAACTTTGACTTGCATGAAATAAGCCTGAATGACACAAATGAACATCAGCACAATGTATTAATTCTGAACGGTAACTGTTGTGAAGATATTAAATAACTTGTGTCATTCATACTTATTTCCAAGCCAAAATTAACTTGCTTGCAAGAACAGCAGTGATTAAGACTTCGACAACTTAAGCCCGTTTTCCACTTCACCATTTCGCTCGGACGCTCCGACCACCAATGTCTTCTAATCAAGCCCATTAAAAGACAGAAAACTCCGGTTACGTCAAAAAAAATTAGATTGATGAAACGAGCAAATTTAAATGACCTCTCCCTGAATATGGCTTCTGAAGATTGGACTGCTGTATATTCAGCACTGGATGTGGATGAGAAAGTATCAGCTTATAACTCCATTATAATCAAGATGCTTGACGAGTTCTTACCAGAAAAAAACCATCAGAATACATCACTCTGATAAACCGTGGATCACTGGTAATATTAAAATGCAAATCAAAGCTCGTCAGAAAGCCTTTTCTCGTGGTGATCAGCCAAGATACAAACAACTCTGCGAGAAAGTGGCAAATCTTATAGCTAAAGCTAAAGCCACCTACTATCGGTCCAAGGCCTCAGAATTTCGTACCTCGAATCAATCGAAGTGGTATAACTGTATCTACTCTTTAGTAAATGCCGAAAACACAACCCACACCCAATTTCCACACAGGCCCGAAAACCTAGACTTATCCGACTTAGCTGAAAAACTTCAGAAAGCCTTCACTAAACCATGGTCGGACCGGTACACGAATGTCGCCTTTGAAATACCTGAAGTGAACCATCCACATAAGAATAACAAACCACCTCTTCCTTCTATTGGCCAAGTTAAAGCGGTCTTAAAACATCTTAATCCAAGAAAAGCAACTGGCATTGATAAGGTTCCTGCATGGATGCTCAAACAATACCACGAAGACCTAGCTCCTGTGGTTTATGACATTGTGTGCTGTAGTATAAGTCAATGTTGTTATCCATCACTCTACAAACATGCCCTAATTTCCCCTGTTCCTAAAGTGCAACCACCGAGAGACATTAACAATGATTTCCGCCAGATATCAGTCTTACCCCATCTTGCCAAGATCCTGGAAAAGATCCAGCTCCAGTTAAATATTGAAGATCTGAAAATTAAGAATAACCAGCACGCGTTTACTCAACATCGAAGCACAGTCTCTGCGTTAATATCAACTACCCAAACCTGGTTTAATGCCACTGATTGTTCAAAAACAGGCAAAATGGGGGTTCATGCGGCCTTCATTGACTTTCGTAAGGCCTTCGACCTTGTGGATCACAATATTCTTTTGAACAAATTAGCAGCTATGAACATAAATAAACGCTTCTGGTTATGGATTAAAAGTTTCCTTTCCGGAAGAGTTCAACAAGTAAATCTCAATGGTACCTTATCATCCATTGCAACATGCCCGGCCGGAGTCCCGCAAGGCTCTGTAATATCTCCCATTCTTTTTAATACCTACATTGATGATTTGGAGGACGCCTTACCAGAACAACTAAAAGTCAGTACGAATAAGTATGCAGATGACTGCACACAACACCAAATAGTGAGCGTAGATTCTAATAGTAATTTACAACAATCTATCAATGAAGTAAATAACTGGGCGGTGTTAAATAAAATGGCAATTAATGCTAAAAAAACTAAGGACATGTGGATCTCTTTCACGGACGCTATACCTGAACCACCACGTCTTCGTATTGGAAATGAGTTAATAGAAAGGGTCAACGCTTTTAAATTACTTGGCGTGTCGTTCCAAAATAATCTAAAATGGAACGCACATGTTGAAGAGATTACACGTAAAGCAAATAAACGCCTTTACCATCTTAGAGAATGCAGGAAATCGCAGTTACCAGCTGAAGTCGGTATTATTACCTATCAATCCAAAATAAGACCAATTCTCGAGTATGCATCACCTGTCTGGGCGGGACTGCCTAATTACCTGCGAGATGAAAAAGAGCGGGTTCAATCCAGGAGCTTAAGAATCCTTGGCCTGGAAAAAGATTACCTACCACCGCTGAACGAAAGAAGGGAAGAGGCAACTAGTCGAGAAGTTGATAGGTTTATGAACGATCCAAACCATCCCTGTCGCAGTGTTTTGCCAAAATTAATTAACAATCGGTACTATTTAAGGAACATTGACCGGAATCGCAATATATCATTCTTCTCAGGAACTGAAAGGCATAAACATTCTTTTTCAGGAAGAGCTTGTAAATATGTATAAATAATTTTAACTTATTGGAAGAACTTATTAGTTTAAAGAACTTATTAGTTTTAACTTCTTAGTTAGTTTTCTAAGTTATCTTACAACAACTTGTAATATAAAGACATACCCACAGCATATATACTTTCTTAAACAAGTAATTGTAAGTCCATTGTACTTTTTTATCTTAAGATGGATGAATAAAGCTATTATTATTACGTCTCCGTCCCGCGCTCGATTAGCTACGTTAAAACAACATTTCCAGTTCACTTTTTATACAACACTCAATAGTCCTATGATTTTCCATTCAGCATACGCGAGTCTTATTGCTGGTTGATTTACGTTGGACAAAGCTACAGTTCGGTCTGACACCAATACACTCGGGCCGGACAAACAGTAAACCCCAGTTTCACTTATGTCCCACAGAATGTCCGGTGGCTTCCTCTCTACGTCGGACAATTTCACGAATGGGTCGGACAATGTCCGTGACCGACTGATATTTTAAGGCCTGCTCTTCAAGAAAGAACAGTTTAGAACCGATAGAGCTGTCCAATATAAATAAATTTAGTCACGTTCCTCTGCATGATAAACTTTACAAGCCACAATTTCAGGAAAAAATACTGAAACGTTTAAACTTACGGATCTTTTAGCAAAAGTGAAGTTTTCCGCTGTTAACTGCTCATCGGCCATAACCACATAGAATTTCGACGTTTCGAGTGTACTCTGAAAAACGATATCTGTATCTTTTTCAGGATAAAGACAATTTGGAATCCAGACCATGCAATACACCTTTCTGATAATTACGCCACAAATATCTCCTTGGCCTGGGAGCCTCATTGAAGATTGATGAGGCCAACAGACTCGCAACAAGTTGTTTCAACAAGTTCGAACACGTCTGCATGCACGTAACAAGTTGTCAACAAGTTGATGACAACAAACAGCCTTGGTATTAGTCTTGTTGGAACAAACTTGTAGCAAGTCTATTGCCGTCATCAACCTTGTAACAAGGTGACAGCAACGTGTTTCAGACTTGTCACAACAACTGGGAACTGGGCTTGACAACAACCTTATTGCAACTTGATTGCGGATCTGTAACGACTTGTGCGTTTTTCCGTGAGTACTATACACTCAGCTTAATCAACTTTTTTTAAATTAACATTAGACATTCATCCAGCTTAATTTATGATTTCTGTTGCTTTCCTAATTTGTACCTTCGACTTTTAAGTTTCCTTTTCTCGCGCGGTAATTCAGATTCAGTTCTCATATAACCTTTCTCGATATATTCATTCGTGTTCATAAAATCAACCTGCCAGAAATGTTCGGGTGTGCTGGGCGGAGGGGAGAATCGGGCGCGATGCCTTGAGCATGCCTTCAGACGTTCCTGTATTTCTGCTTCGCTCAATTTTAGACTGCCAAAATACTGAAATGGAAAGAAACACAAATGTTTGAACTTACTGAGTAACCTGGGAGTTATTTTATAAGACCAACCCCACTCATGATGATAGTTAATGAGATGAAGAATTAATCCAAGATGGCGGACAGCTGATTGTTTTTTTTTCTGTCGAAATATTTCAAGAGTCAAATCTGTTAGAAGATTTTAGAGATAATTTTTACCTTCTTTCAAACGAGACAATAGAAATCTTATATTGTCATTGTCCTTTAATCGTTATGGAATGAAATTCGGTTATAAATAATTGAAAATAATTAAGAACGAATAAATTCTTTTTTGTTTTTTGTTTGTTAGTTGTGTGTTAAGTATGAAATCAATGCTCTTGGATTTCGTCGCTTTGTTATACGGTATGAAGATATAATATTTGCCAATGGTATGACGGATTGCCAGAACTCAGAGATTGTCAATCTTTTTTCTCCCACAATTAATTTCAACCAACTGGTAACCACTGCCGCCTGATAGAATACTTCAAAATTATCTGTTTTACAAAGTATAAAGTATAATACCGTGCATCTAATTGAGAAATTAAATCTTAAAAATACCGACTGCCAATTTAGCAAAATTTTGGTGCCGGTTTTTTCACACATTTCCAAGGGCTATGACTTCGCTTCCGGTGGCGTAGCTAGCGAAATTCGACAGGTCCTGCTCTAAAATTTTCAATATTAGAAGTCTGGAATGGCCAGAGCACCAAAAAATAGATACATTTTTAGAAAAATTTTTTGTCACTTTTGGAAATCGTATTTCCATATTTATCATATTTCACAGTATATTTTTCAACTTAATTAAAAATTTAGCTAAGTATAGTCAAGTCGCTTCCATGGATTGTTTTCAATCTTAAACTTATACACTCCTTCGCCTTAAATAGCAGTCTCTGTTGAAAAAATTTTCATTTTTTATTAGTCTGACACTGCATAAAATATAATGGTAGCTACAGTTTTCCGTAATCGATCAAAACTTCGAGATTTTTAGTCGTACCTGACTGGTACTCTAATTACTCTCGTACTTGATCTGTACAAATTTAAGACTCAAGGTATGTACACTCTGATACGTAAGTACACAAAGAAGTACCAGGCCCTAATATTGGCATACCTCTGGTACGTATAAGTACGCGATTTATCGCACCATGCGAAACACTTAATTACTTTAATTTATTTTGAATTCTGCATGGCATCCAACATCGATTGATATTTAGCAATAGGAGATGTATTATTACCTTCTCACAATCAGCACAGAAATATCCGTTCAACTTTGCCCGTTTATCCTTGCCTCTCACAACTTCTCTATATTTATACTGTGGGATTTTCTCTTCCTCACTGCAAAAACAATATAAACGGTCAGTTGTGTATGTGTAGGGTTTAATAAATCACATTTAAATATTAAAACTCATTACCTATCAGGATATTTTTCTTTGTCCGTGCTTTCATCAAGATTAAAGTTGAGAGCAATCTTTGGCTTTTTCTATATCGGAATAAACCAGAATATAAAATTATTTGAAAAATTAATTAACCCATTGAGCGCCGCGCTCTCGCCTTGACAGAGTAAGATTATAAAGCAGGGCGCACTGGGGCCCAGCATAAAGACCCGGCGTGGTTTTTTGTAGACATTGTGGTAGGTCATTGATGTAGAGCAAAAATAACAACGGCCCTAGGATCGACCCCTGGGGAACCCCACATTTTAATTTTCCAACGGAGGATAGTATCCATTAGCTACGCATTGTTGTTCCCTATTCGTTAGGTATGATTCAAACCAGAGTAATATATATACAGTTTATTTTCCTCTCGTCCATGTTATTTAAGATTTTGTCACATATTTTAATGAGGGCTGATAAGGTTGAGTGTTGTGGCCGAAGCCAGATTGATACTTTGAGAGAAGATTACTTTCATTCACGTACGTATACACTTGCCTAAACACTTTTTTTTCAAAGACTTTACTTACAATTGACAAAATAGAAATGGGTCTATAATTTTCACATTTATTTTTATCTTCAGATTTCAAGATAGGAGTTACTCGAGCTCGTTTCCAATCGTTAACATAAATACCGCTTTGAAGCGATAAATTAAAAATATACGTTAAGGAAGGGGCAATAATATGGGCAGCTAGTTTTAGTATTCTCGCTGGGATGGCATCTAGGCCAGTGGATTTATTTGCTTTGAGGTGTTTCAAATTACAGAGGACACTATCAACCGTAATGAGAGAAAAATTAAATTTATTATTAGTTTGGGAATGGATGTTTGTGTCAGAGAAATCAAGATTTTCTCCACAATCATTTGGCGTATCATTTTCATCAGGGTAATTTTTTTTTTTTTTTTTTTA